CTTTTTTTTTCTTTTGAATGTTAGATAGAATTGTAAACTTGATCAAGTAAAGTAAATTATAAAGTGATATTGTAAAGTTAATAAAACATAATCTTGTCATTTAGATGTGTTGCATGAATATGTCTCATATAAAAATTCAAAGGTGAACTTTGATGCATACAGGTTAGATTTGAGCTGCATTGTTCAAAGGATTGAACTAGAAAGATACTTTTTTATTTTTACAGGTATTTTAGTATGTCTTGTATAAAGTAAGTTTCTGAAAGTTACTAAAATCTTGTTCATTGGTTCATTTGTTGTTAAGCACAAAGCTACACAATAGGCAATTTGTTCTATGCCTACCATGAATATCAAAACCCAGTTTTTAGTGGTATGAAAAGTAGAAAGTTTCTTTTTTTTATTTCTAGAGATATTCTGTGAACTCGTATGTATTTGAAACTTTTAATTTTTCAAGAGTACAGATGATTTTTTGACTTCATAATGTCATGCCTTGCACATTGTTCCAGTGACATATGATCGTGATTTTGATAAAACAGATTAACATATATGATTTTTCTTCAAAGTCATAGGTTTTCAGAATAACTTTGTGACTTGTAAGTTGTTTTAAAACTCCTTTACTTCAAATTTATTGACCTCTGATGGCACAGAGGTAAGCTTTAGGACTTATAGTGGGCACAAAGCAGATATGCTTTTGTATGTTGCTTAAACACAAACAAAGTTTAGTGACTTAACTAAAACTATCAATAATCTATATATATATGTTTGAGATAAAACATTATAAGATGAATTTCATTACATGGAACGTAATTTCTGTTTATTCATGGAAAATTATTTGTAATTTAATATCTAAGTTTTTAAGGTACCACCTAGTGTTTGAAAATTGAAATACAAATCATATCATAAAGCATAACAAATATCACTACTGTTATAAAAGCAAAAAAGGGTACTTTTATAAAAACTAGATATGTTTTCTTGTTAGACTGATAAATAAAGTGAAAGGAAGAAATATAAATAATGGTGATTAATGTAAAAAGCTCAAACAATAGGCTGGGTAATGTTTATACAATGTACTAGAAGTGTGCAATCTGTATAATCTGTCGATAATTTAAAGAAATGCTTAAACTGAATAGTTGATGATGCTAATTGTGAATTATCTTTATTAAGCATTATTTGTTATGCAAACATTATGTAAACTTACATATATTATTTATTAAATTTCCCTAACTTATTTTGATTTTACATAGTTGAACTGTCAATAAGAGAACTCTTTAGTTGGCTTCATATTTTTTGATGAAAACTTAGTATCTTTATGCTAATTAATAAAAGATTTTGCATTTTTAATTACTATCACATTTTCTAATAATCTGCTTTTCACAAGTCAATTACACTTGTTTTTTAGGTCAATTAATAGCTGAAGGCATAGAATCATTAGCAGTTAGCTTTTCCTCAGATAAAGTCAGTGGTCAGCTAACTGGAGGTATTTTGTGGAAAGGACTTCAATTTAACAATGGAGGTAAGGTTTTGCTACTATTAATGATGTTTTCTGATAGTGGAGGTAAGGTTGCACTCAAACTAATGTTTCTCTGACATTAAAAGTAAGGTTGTGCTACTACTAGTAAGGTTTTCAGACATTATGCTGGCTACTAATACTAAAGATTTTTTTCTGATAGTGAAGGTAAGATTTTCATACTACTACTACTAATGATGTTTTCTGATAGTGGAGGTAAGGTTATTCTACTAATAATGATGTTTTCTGACAGTGGAGGTAAGGTTATTCTACTAATAATGATGTTTTCTGACAGTGTGGGATGATGATTATACTACTTATGATGTTTTCAGATAGTTAAGATAAGATTTTGCTGCTGCTAATAATGTTTTTCAGACTGTGGAAGTAAGGTTGGGCAACTACTAATGAGGTTTTCTGACAGGGAGGTAAGGTTATGCTATCAGTAATGATGTTTTCCAATACTGGGAGGAAATAAGGTTGTGTTGCTAGTAATAATATTTTTCTGACAGTATAAGTAAGCTTGTACTGCTACTACTAATGAATCAGTAATTATGTTTCCTGTTTCTGACAGTAAAGGTAAGATTGTGGTACTCCTAATGATATTTTCTGACAGTGGAGACATGATTGTGCTACTACTAATAATGTTTTCTGATAGTGAAGCTAATGTTCTGCTACTACACATGGTGTTTTCTAAGGAAGTGAGAAAATATATTTTCAACTCTAAATCTTAATGCAAGTAGAATTAGTCTTCAAAAGATGAATGTTATATGATTGTAATAACTCATAATTTATTCATGAAAGTGTATGCTTGAAGCTAAAGTAATGCCTAAATGATAAGTTTATATATTTATTTTTAAGATGTGTGTTGAGAAATATTAATTTCTATGTGTACAGTTACAGCATTTTCAGTCATAGAAAGTTTTATTCTTGTTTGTAGTTAGAAAGAATAGGCACTGTTATTGAATTTGGGAAACAATTGATGTTGATTCTTTGTACTTGTAAAATTTGAAATATATTCAACATCTTAATGTTGCATGAGTATAACATGAGAATGATTAAAATAATATGTAAATAGGTACTGAATAACAAAGGAATAGATGTTACAGTTGTTTAAAGCTTTCCTTAATGTACTCATATAGTATGTTTAATGCATCTTACATGCAGCATGAAAGTACTTGGTAGTTTTAAATATTGACTTACAATTAAAAAATTTCAAAATATCATAAAATTTATATTTTGAAAAATTATTTTTACCCAAACAAAATGAGCAAACTTAATCTATATCAATAATGTTCTCTATCATAGAATTGTTGTAGATAAGTCATATCATTTATTTGTGATTATGTTGTTGCATCTCTTGGCCAGATTGAAAAGTCAGATCAGGTATTGTTACATCAAATTGTCAGTCATGTCAGGTATTGTTATATCAACTATACTTCTCTTTGCCAGATTGATGAGTCAGATTAGGCATTGTTAAATAAAGTAGGCTTCATCTGTTAGCCAGGTTGAGAAGTTAGGCCAGGTACTCTTGCATCAAGTTAACTTCTCTTGGCCAGTTTAGGCATTTCTAAGAACCAATGAGTGAAAGAAAGAAGAATATGTAATTATCAACCATCCTACATTTGCTACATCCAGTCATTTACAAATCAGAATTTGGGTAAGGATTAAGAACACAATATTATTTATCTATTTTGAACATCAGTTATTTATTATTATTGCTTGAATTTAACCTTACTATCATTCAGAAGACTTGGTAAACCATCCAGATAGTTTTCTTGTTCTTGGAGCAGGTCAAGTAACCACAGTGTCAATGGGAGAAAATCCCATTAATAATTCTAAGAACTTATGAGTAAAAGAAGAATATATATTAACCAAATTATATCTGCCATATCCAATGATGGTGAGACCTTTCACTCAGTACCAGGATTCATCAGGCTGGCTGCAAAGCAGCTGACAGAAATTTCTGAGCCTAGGTAGAAGTAAGTGCCATGTGTCCCTTTCAGTCCATGTGGGAAGATGATGCCACATGATGCTGCATGTATACAATGATAATATAGTTATATAATGATGTCACAATCAGCTAGTGATTTGATGTTGTGTTACAAAAAGGACAACATTTTTCAGTAAACATGCATTTTGTGCCAACGTATGGTTAGTGTGTCATAAATGGGGTCTGGGACAAAGCCCTCAGAAGCAAGCAATTTTAATTACAATTCTAAATAAAACATGCTGTATCAAACCTTGGAGGTGGTAATATGGGCCATTAAACCTAATATGTGGAGCAGGTCCCTTCATCCCCACAGTAAGTTAACATCACTCCCACCAGGGCCACTATACAGCAAACCTCCACCAGAGGTAAATGAAAATTACTTACCAAAATGCTTGATAGCTATGAAAGAATCCACCTTGTATTTTCATTTGCAAACTGGTTGATGAATTGAGTGTATAAAGCTCATGTTCAAAAGATAAAATGGCTAAACTCTTTTAATCTATCTTCATCTGTAGTCAATCATAAGTAATTTTTTTATATGCTCTCTCTCCATCTACGATGCTTGTTGGGAGACCACAAAAATTCTTAGGGCAATACATACTTTCATCCAAAGAAAATGTTTCACGTATTGATGTTTACATCTTTTCATCTTTACGCTTTAGATACAATTATGTAATATGCTTGATGCTATGAAAGCATCCATTTCATCATCAGTTGTATGAAACAAAAACAGCAACAATCTAAATATCTGTTGTTATTACACTATCTGGGATATTTAGCAAATTTCTTACTTATGGTTAGTAATATGGAAGGCTACTTTTTCTGGTACAAATTAAATATTGATTGAATAATTTTTCTAACAAAGCGAAATAACAATAATTAGTAATTTTGAAATTTAATATACATGTACATAGTTTTCACTAAGTATCATCTTAGTACTTTTTGATTCAAGTATTAAGGTATGTATTGCAGAGTTCAAAGTGATGCTTCTATTTTTATTACTTTTCAGTTATGAATTTTCATGTAGATATTTCTTCTGCAGATACATCAATGTCTGTGCTTGATACCGTATCAGTCAGTGGGGCTGAGACATGTGTAAAGACCTATGCGAATCAGGTGAAAGTTATCAACTCTGTAGTTTTTCATTGTTATGATGGAATATCTTTAGAGAAAGGCAAACAAGAAGAAGAAGACGTGTTGGTGAATACACATATTTATGGTTTTAAACATCAAGGAATAATCCTGAAAAATGTTGAAGGAAACATATCTCTCACTGGTGTGCATGTTTCAAATGAAAAAAGTATATCAAGGGACTGGTGCTTTTTTTTTAACAGTCAGGATACAGGCTTGGAAGTAAAGATATTTATTGAAAATAGTAGTTTTATCAGATGTTTTTATGGCATGAAATTTTATATGAGGACTGGAACCATAGATGTAACACTGAGTAATTTGGTAATTAATGGGAGCTATCGCTATGGTATTAGTTTTGTTTTATATGATGACACTGATTTGAATTTAAAAATTTTGAAGAGTCATTTTACAGACATTTCTAGTGAATATGCATTAGAGATGACAAGTCATGGATATAGAAACATAATTTTGAATGTTTTGATAAATGAATGCCAGTTTGAGAATGTATACAAGGGAATATATTTATATTTTAATTATTACCAGTTTATTACAGGATATGCAAGAATTTCAAATAATACTTTCCAATCTGTTTCATGCTCCTTTCTTAAACTGAATTTGAATGAGAAATCTGTAGTTAGATTTGATGGGAATCTTATTTCAAATAACACTAGTAGCTGCTCTAAATTTGGAGAAATTGATATTCAGAATTATGATTCTTCATCAAGTCAACAAGGTGTGATAGAAGTATTTGGGAATAAGTTCACAAACAACAGTTTTACAACAGACAGTGGTGTTATTCTTTCTATAATTGGCTTGAGCACTGTAAGAGTAGATATAAAAAATAATTCTTTTTTCAATAATTCAGCACAGTCCATGATTTTAAATAAAATAAACACCTCCTGTATTGTATACAATGTTTTTGATAATCCAAAATCAAAGTTTGAGATCCAGATTGAGGCTCCCATAGAATATAATGATTTTTACCTCAACGCTACCATGAACTGGTGGGGAACAACAAATTCTTCTACCATTAGAGAACGGATATTTGACTTTTTCCATAACGTCAATTATATGATTGCTGACTTATCACCAATTTTGACATCACCTATTCCATCAGAAGGAGAATTTGCTGAGTACTCGACTATTTTTAGTGACTTACAGGAAGAAGGCATTTTGGGTGGTATTATTTCTAATACGCAGAACTTAGTATCAGATGCTTTCTAACTGCACAGTAGTTTCTTACTCTCTCTTTATTCCATCTGAAGTTACATGTACAATTACTGGACCTCATTGCTTCTGGTTTAAAGAAGGAAGAGGAATACTTATTGAAGGTATGTAACCATGCAGTTATGCAGTTGTTTAATTGTCCATGACAATAGATTGCATTTTTTGTAGTAGGATGTACATTTTTCAATGTATTTATATTTTAAAAAAGGGTTAAATTCTTACACTAAGTTTGTTGCTATATATATATATATATATATATATATACTATA